AGCCCGGAAGACCCACACCAGCCATCATATGCCGGCCGTGAAAGCCTTCGACAATACAATATGGAACTTTGCTTTTATATATGACCATAGCTGCAAGACTCTTATATGCACAAAGATGGAAGGATTCACAAATACCTACAGTGGAAGAATGGATTATTAAATTAAGGACTTGGCTCAAATGGCGAAGTTAACAGCGTTAATAAGAGACAATACTGTTTCTAAATTTGTCTCCTCATGGCAACCCTTCTTAAATTACGTGCTTGGGTGGGAAAAAAATGAAGCTTTGATTGTGGGATTTAATGATTACATGATCTGTGCTGATAGAAATAATGTGAATATGGATTAATTAGTGGTAAGAGATTAACCTTTTTTTAATTTGTATTTATATCTGAATTGGAGATAGTCGGAAGTCACTTTCTGTTTCATTTTTCTATCTGTTCTCACTGTTTTAGTTTTTGCCTTTTTCTTTTAGTTCTATTTTCTTTCTTTGCTATACTTTCCTATTTGTATCGTAACTATGCTTTTATATATTTTATATATTTATAATATATATTTCTTTATATATTTCTTTATATATTTCTTTTTCTTTACTATATTATTTTTTTCTTTGTTTTCTATTTTTCTTTCTATTTTTTTCTGTTCTGCACTTTTTCTTTTTTTTCTGTTTTAGTTTATATTAGTTTTTATCTTTTTAATTGTAATGTTCAATAAAATTACTATTAAAAAAAAAACATAAGAAACTTCAAAGTTCCCTATACTGTGCAAGATCAAACTCCCTCACGCGATGAGCTCCAATTGTCTTCTTTGAAAATGGAGGACAAATGGTTTAACCACTTGCAATTCACATTGTTACCATGGAGAATTTACCAACAAGAATATTTCTGATATACTTTTTCAAACCTGATGGCAGTCAGCAAAAGAAATAAGAGGCTTACACCTTGTCCCCATCATTTGATTTAAAGGAAGCCAAGCTTCTGCCATTTCTGTTTACTGTGCCCATTTCCTATAGGAACAGATTTATGCTGGAATACAGGGACCCTCTCAAACTGTTAATAAAGCTCTGCCTTTTGATACAAAAGGAGGAGCTTTTCACGTGTCAAGGAAAGCCCATTTTACAGTGTTGGAGACCTATGCAACCTATGATCTTCTTGAGCTAGAGATGGGTAGAGTGAAGTTTAATACACATTTTAAAGCAAAAAGCCCAATTTGAACTTTTTGGACCGTTATAAAACTGGAAAAAAATTAAGTCTTCAGATTGTACACATTACCAAAGTCTGTAATTGTAGAAGAAAGAGGGAATGGCCTTTAAGGACAGGAAGAACAGCTGCTACTATGGCAACAGTCAGATAAGTGGCTTGAGCCAAGGCCAGAAAATAATTTGAGAAAAGTCTCAGACAAGCCCC